AAATCGGTTTGGCGTCATCAGGTGTCGGGAAGGCGTCGGGACATCTCTGGAAAGGCTGTGTGTGTGTGTGTGCGTGTGTGCGTGTGCGTGTGCGTGTGTGTGTGTGTGTGTGTGTGTGTGTGTGTGTTTTCTCCGACATGAGGCTTCGTGTGTTTTAGATGTTGTTGATTGGAGCATGTACTTTGTTTTGTTGCTGGCCAGCAGTATATCCGGTTGCCCTCTGGAGAAGAGCCTGGAGCAGTGTCTGCAGTGTCAGGACACCATGTCTCTGTACCGCCTGGCTCTCAAGATGACGCTGAACTCCCTCAACACAGACAGGGAGCGACACATCATGAGAGAGGTGACCTGATAACAATTATTCAAGCAGTGTCTGCAGGTGCGTTTCTGCATCTCACTGTTTGTGATGTGTCCCGGGAAAGACACCCAGATCCTAATTCTCCAAATGCTTCATTCATTTATTGTGGCCATTGTGTGCTGCAGATCAGACTTTCTGTTTCATTGTGTTCTCATGACGTCATTCACTGTCCTTTGCTTGTTTTGTGTCCCTCTTCAGATCCTATGCCTCGTCTGTTCTAGCCATAATGGAGTGAGTGAGTCCGAGGTGTTAGATCTTTTCACAGAGCTGGAGCTGCCGGTCCTGTCCTCTCTGCTGTACCGCCTGAACAGACTCTGCATCGTGACCCTGCGCTGCGGCCTCATCAGGTTTCAACACCTGCAGGTAACCGGGCCAGTAGCATACAAATCTATGATATTCCTGGGTCGGAAGACGTTCGGAGAGACAACTTACTTTGTTTCTCTTTCAGGCTTGGGAAGCTGTAAGGTTGGAGTTCCTGGGAGGAGGAAGTAGCTCGGCTGCTTACAGAGAGAAACTCATTCAGTACTTCAGTCAGCAGCTCAGGTGCATTAACTGTAGTCATCTGTTTCTCATAAAACACAGCTTAAAGTATCTTCTTAGTACTCATCAGGGTTCTTACGGTCATTAACAACCTGGAAAAGTCATGGAAATTCAAAATGCAAATTCCAGGCCCTGGAAAAGTTTTGGAAAACGATATTTTTCCCAAAGTTTTGGAAAAGTCATGGAAATATAATTTATATTTGATCTAATCGCCAAAATAGTAATACTTTAATGATAATAAATACTGTATCGTATAGTAATGAAACGTAAAATGGCATTTAACTGTCGAGGTGTTTTGCTGGTGAGAGAGTTTAGTAGAAGCTAGTTAGCCTATTTCATTTGTTTTAGATACACAACATGTTTCATATGCATACCTTATTTTCCTGTTCCATGTTAAAATGAACCATTTTCAGTGGTACCGCTGAGAAAGAGTAATTGTTTTGGTCATGGAGAATTAGGTAAAGGTCCTGGAGAAGTCATGGAAAATCATTGGTGAATGAACCCTGACTCGTCATTGTGTTTGTGTGTGTGTGTGTGTAGCCCGGACCGTGTGACGTGGCGTGTTGCAGACGAGCTGCCCTGGCTGCTCCAACAGCAGGACGATCGGACCAAACTACAGCTCAGCCTCCTCAACCTGTTTGTCTCCCAGAACCTGTACAAGAGGTACAAAACCCATACCTATGTGCTGATGAAGCAAAGCCTGCCACATGTAAGTTAGTACAGTTTTACTGATGTGTGTTCTCTGTTTCTAGGGGTCATTTCTCCGAGCTGCTAGCCTATTGGCAGTATGTGGGCAAAGACAAGAGCTCCATGGCCACGGAGTACTTTGACTCCCTGAAACAATATGAGAAGAGCTGTGAGAATGAAGACAGCATGACCAAGCTGGCCAACCTGTACGAGACTTTGGGACGTTTCCTCAAAGACCTCGGTCTCCCCAGTCAGGTACGCGCTTGGTTACAAAATCTGAAAGAGTATTATCTTTAAAACAGGTTTTCTTTTAAAGGGGACCTATCGTGCAAAATGCACTTTATACATAACCATGTGTCCCCGGTGTGTTGGGGAACTCACGCAGTGTCAGAAAATAAAACCCTCTCTCTTTTCCTCCGTACCCAAATCTCTAAAAACGGGGGAACAACGGAGCTGATCCAGATTTGCGTCCGATATGACGTAATATCTGAAATGTGGACCCACGGCCCAATCAGAAACGTTGCTATCAGAAACAATGCCCGACTGTTTTGGACGTAATATGGTCGGTGTTTACATTAGCATCGCTAACACTCAGAGCTAACCTGTACTGGAGAGCATGTGTGTGAAGAAGCAGGAAGTAAAAAGGAACTCACCTTGTGGTATAACCGGCAAGAGAGAAAGCCTTTGAGCTCCATACTGTTTCAGAGAGAATCCTTGATAATCCATGATATGGCGTTTCATCACGGCAGTATTTAGTTTAGACAGTAGCTGCCGGGTCCCGCATGAGCTCAGACCCCTCCTTTTACTTTTGCTTTATACCCCAAATCAGCACTTTAGAAACAGGAAGTGAAATAGAGGGATATGAGGCATGGCTAGAATGGGTGATATGTTTGGTATTTGGAGCAAAACACTTCATAGACATGTTTTTTATATATTTGTATATATCTGATTTCTATCCTATTGCCTAAAAATAGCCCGATAGGTGACCTTTAAACAAACTCAATATTTTTCTGCCTCACCTTGCGTGGCAGTTTTGTTGTTTCCTTTGCTTACATATCCTGATTTTGCCATTAGGTAAGTGCACATGTTGACGGTTGCATAATGTATCTGTTTGTCTGTTTTCTAGGCTGTAGCACCTTTACAAAGGTCCCTGGAGATCAGGGAGACGGCCTTGGACCCGGACCACCCCAGCGTGGCTCGCTCGCTGCACCAGCTGGCCGCGGTTTACGTTCAGTGGAAGAAGTACGGCAACGCTGAGCAGCTGTACAAGCAGGCGCTGGAGATCAGTGAGAACGCCTACGGAGCCGAGCACGCCAGCGTAGCACGAGAGCTGGAGTCCCTCGCCATGCTCTACCAGAAACAGAACAAGTAAATGGATCTCCTGACCTTTACATGTTTTTTATTACTGTTGTTGTTACAGTTTATCGGTTGTTTCTGCCAGGCAATGAGGCGTCATACCGATGTTATTGATTTGATAACACGTATGTTTAATGGCTTACACCTGGCTGTTTTACAATCAGGTACGAACAAGCAGAGAAACTGAGGAAGAGGTCAGTAAAGATCCGCCAGAAGACTGCTCGCCAGAAAGGCCATATGGTGAGCATATTTAAAGATACCCGCACGCTTAGTCATTCTCACCTAATCTAAGCCGTAATGTTCCTGCCTCTGTGGATCCACCTTTCAGTACGGCTTCACTCTGCTGAGGCGCAGAGCTCTGCAGCTGGAGGAGCTCACTCTGGGAACAGACTCTGCAGACTCTGCCAAGACACTCAATGAACTGGGTGTTCTGTACTACCTCCAAAACAACCTGGAGTAAGGAACACGTTCATCACCCTTTTTGTATTCTTGAAAGACCTTTAAGATGCAAACCACATTTACAAAGAATTCAAGCAAACTACAAAAACAACAGTCGTATACCGATATAGCTAGGGTGCCCACAGATAAGCCTGTATAACACCCCCTGCATTTGGACATGAATGATCTAATTATGTTTCCCTTAAATTATATCCAATTAGAAGTGTCCCTACGTCCTTATTTGTGTGTCTCTAACATCCCTCTCTGATATATCATAGCTTGGATGCACACCTATATAACACCCCCTGCATTTGGACATGATTGATCTAATTGTGTCTCCCTTAAATTAACATTCCTACGTCCTTTGTTGTGTCTCTAACATCCCTCTCCGCCCTCCCCAGTGCTGCTAAGCTGTTCCTGACCCGCTCTCTGGAGACCCGTCAGCGCGTCCTCGGTCCGGACCACCCTGACTGCGCTCAGTCCCTCAACAACCTGGCCGCTCTGCACACGGAGAGGCGGGAGTACGAGACGGCCGAGGACATGTATGAGAGAGCGCTGGACATCCGGAAGAGGGCTTTATCCCCGGACCACCCGTCGCTGGCATACACTCTCAAACACCTGGCCATGCTCTACAAACGCAGAGTGAGACGTGTGTCGGATTCTGTCTGTGGATCGGCTCGTTCTGTGTTGGCGGGGGATCTGATTTGAAGATGTGTGTGTGTGTTGTGCAGGGGAAGCTGGAGAAGGCCGTGCCGCTGTATGAGCTGTCTCTGGACATCAGGGAAAAGAGTTTTGGGCCCAAACATCCCAGTGTGGCCACAGCACTGGTCAACCTGGCTGTGATCTACTGCCAACTGGTGAGGAGGATTTCATTTAGCCTGTACCACATATTACTGACTTTCATAATTCTTCAGGACTTTTCACACTCGTTATTTGAATGACTGAGTATGTGAAGCTTTATTTTAAGTTGTTTAGAGCAGTGTTGATTTCGTCAACGAAAACTATGACGAAAAATGTTCATCAACGACCTTTTTTACATGACTAAGACGAGACGATGACGAGCTAAAAATAGATTCTTGATAATAAAAACTATGACGAAATGTATATTTAGTTTTCGTTGACAAGACGAGACGGGACTAAGGTGTTAATGGTGGACTATCGGATATTCAAAATGCAGGGTATTTCCCCCCAAGTGTCCGTCAAAATGCATCTCACGTTTCTAACTTGCAATATCCTTATTTCCGCTCTCTTCACTCCAGAAGAGCTCTCTCTCTCTCTCTCTCTCTCTCTCTTCACTCCAGAAGAGCTCTCTCTCTCTCTCTTCACTCCAGAAGAGCTCTCTCTCTTCACTCCAGAAGAGCTC